ATTAAAGAGGTTTTTATAAGTTGTAAAGTGTCTTTAGGCACGGGTTATTACTAGTGTAAAATAGTGTAGAGCTTGAGGGTAAAGTGGAAAACAAGATTTTTCATTAGGTCCCTTATTATACAAATTTTGACAAGGGGGTGTTAGTGTAAGTTCAGAATCAGGAAGGGGTGTGGCTGAAGTTAAGCCTATCTATATGGGATGTGAATAAAATTTACTGTTTAATCTTACATCTATTTATCTCAGTTTTTTTTTTTACTGTAAATAATAATTTTAATTTGTGAACTTTGATTCAGTACATACATACACAATGACTTTTATCGTACAGGGACCCTAGTACCTCAAATGAACAAAGAAGGTAAAATGGATTGACAAATTTCATCCCAAGCAATTTACTACGAACAAATTGGTGTCCCATTTGCTCAAAGACAAGTTATCNAGTACCTCAAATGAACAAAGAAGGTAAAATGGATTGACAAATTTCATCCCAAGCAATCTACTACGAACAAATTGGTGTCCCATTTGCTCAAAGACAAGTTATANTAAAATAACTTAATACTGAAATTGGATAACTCTTAATTCGGCAAATCTCAAGATTATGAATTAATTATGAATTTGATCATGCAGGTGTTGATAGTGCGCAAAATGCTGTTGGACCAAAACTTAAATTGTCCTAGAAGCCTNTAAGCATTACCGCTTATACAATTGTAACAAAAGAAAATTAGCTAGTCCATGAAAATTTAATCAAGTCATGAAAATTTTACATCCACGTTGCCATTAAGTTGTACAAAAAAAATTTCCAACCAATTTAGTAACAAAAATACAACAAGATAAGCATTTAATTATCAGAGTAGACTTCTTCGGCTTCTCCATTTGAATTACTTGTTTGGGATAAACTAAATTAATGACAAGTAGCAAATTAATTAAGTGCATGATCATTAGATAAAAAATCAATATGAGCATTAGATACAAACATGCTCCTACTGCATCAAATAAAAAGACCATCATTTAATACAATCATTCAATTTAAAGACCATTTTCTGCATTTCAATTTAAAGACCATCATTTTAACCATCTAACATTCTTACCAAGTCCATTCGTGTGATGTTTTAGAGAGTATACCTACACGCAGTATACCTTCGCATATAATTACCAACCCTTAAAATGCATGCTTCTTGTGCAGAATAAGACAAGTCGAAAACAACAAAGAAGTTACTTAATTGACCAAGTGCATAACGAAGCAAGATCATAAGCACAATGTAATCTTGAAGTTAGTGAATAAAATAGATATAAAAAGAATGACAAAAGTAGAATAATCGAGACAAAATGAAAAGACGCGGTAGTAGAAATAAAGAATCAGACCTAAAAAATTAGTAAAAAGTCAAACCCAATTTCCTATATATGTGTGGCTGCTAAATACAACATAACAAATAAGAACAAATAGTTACAAAAATAACAGCACCACAGAATAACAAATCAATTCAATTCAATCTGCTAAAGATCAGTTCAACAACACATGGACCTACCATGAATACTGTAATTTGATCCTAAAAATTTCTATTACCATTAACTTTAATTATTTTCAAGCAACATCATCAACCATAATATTTGGCAACCATTCAGTGGCATTTCAAAGGATGAGCGAGGCAATGAGCTATGGATTCAAAAGGAACTTTACTAATTAGAATCTCAGATGCCAAGTAAACATGAACTAAGGAATAATAAGCCAAACCCTGGAATAAAAACCAAATCCCCAATTTAAACATAACCCAAGGAATCTTAGATGTCGAATTGGATTAGAACAATCAGGTGCCTACATTACATTGAAGGAAGATAGTGGGCGAGACAGTAGGAGGGAGAGCAAGATTACCTGGAGAAACAGATCCATGACAATTACTTCTTCAAATCTCAGTAGAGATTATTCACTGTCTTCTGCTTCTTCAAATCTTAGTGGTGGACAGACCCATGGCATAGAAGAGGGAGAGTCACTTGGGCGGGAATTTCACAGCATGGTTATTAACACACTGCAATTTCGCTCTCTTTTGTCGATGAACCTACATTTAATATAAATTAACACATGAATTCCACATAAAACAATACAAATGAAAAAACTGAGGCATTTGCGTATTTCAAAAATGGAATTCGAAAACCTTGGTTCTATATATTTTTATCCCTGTGAATTGAGTGACTGCAAACAATTTCCATGCTATGGCATTTTGGTATTAGCAAGGATTTTTTGATAAGAACTCCAAATTTGAGGAAACTGGGATTTTCAGAACCTTTGTCTGTACTGGACCATTTTTCTTTCCCTGATCTAGCCAGTTTGCATTACCTTGAAACATTAAAGTTGGTTGATAGGAGTTGGGACCCAATTATCACTCTTTTATCTAGTAAGTTCCCGGAAAATCTGAAGAAGCTAACTTTATCAGGTAGCCATTTAGAGTGGACGGAAATTTCAAACTCTCACATTCCTAAAATTGAAACACAATTTTTTCAAAGGGCCACGGTGGGATATGAGTGAAGGGGGTATTCATTGTCTCAAATTCCCGAAACTCTCACATATGGATCGACAGCAGTGGATTGTATCCAACATTCACTTCTCTAGTCTCCAGCGACTAGTTATAAATAAGTGTAAACATCTACAGGATATTCCATCAGCCTTGGGAGATATACTTACTCTGCAGATGATCGAGTTGCATTGGTCAAGCAGCTCTGCCACAAAATCTGCCAAGAAAATTCAACAGAAGCAACAGAGTTTGGGCAATGACGGGCTGAAGGTCCGTATTTACCCTCCAAATGAAGAGGAATATTGGGTTTCATTAAAGTCCTCCCGAGAATGACTTGTGGGTAAGTGCATCTAAACTTTTCAAACCATTTCCTTAAAAGTAATTCTCAGCCTTTTCTATGCTTCCTATATGTTTTTCATTTCTAGAACTTGCTTCATATAAGTGTTGGGATTTCTCACGATTTAAATCCACTAACAAACACACACAATCGAAGAAACAAATCAAGAATATAAAGCAATAAGAAACAAGAAAGAACAAGACACAGATTTTACGTAGTTCGGCAATTTGCCTACGTCCACGAAGCTGCAGGGATTTCACTATTGAGAGAGTTGAATACAGAGAGCGGCTGTACATCCACGATTAACCCTAATCACCAAAACAACAGGGTTTATATGTCCTACACACTGGGCTGTATGTCCTACACACTGGGCTGTATAACGGGCCCCAACAGGGTTTATATGTCCTATCGGCCCAAGCCTTCGCTCCATGGACTAAGCCTCAAAAAATTTTCCATTAAAAACCACACAACATTATTTCGGGTCGGGTCATCATC